AAGGGAGGCAAAGGGAGACAAGGAACCCAGGAACCTGGCAATAGTCCTCAGAATGTTGGCAATCCTTAAATGAATTTAGTACCCCAACAATAGATTGTTTGGGGAACAAAGACAACACAAAGTTCAAAAGGACCATTTATCGTTTTAACCGACAAAGCTTCAAAATGAACCACACCGACTTGCCCCGATCCCAACATCCCAATATAGGCGCGCCTGCAGGGGTTATGAGGGGATTAGGGTTTAGGGTTTAGGGTTTAGGGTTTAGGGTTTAGGGTTTAGGGATGATATTGCCAACGATGAAAACCTCCTGCATCCTCGGCTCTCAACACACTGAACCCTCAACTGCTTAAATTCCTTGCACCGTTGCTTCCTTGTCTGTCTGCAAGCGAAAGGGGGAGCTGCAGCCTAAGCCTAAGCCCTAAACTCCTAGGCCCCTGAACCTAAGACCCTAAGCTCCAACCCATAAAACACGAAACCCTAAACCCTAAACCCTAAACCCTAAACCCTAAACCCTAAACCCTAAACCCTAAACCCTAAACCGTCCTCCCAACTCTTGGGCTTTTGTGGTTATGGTCATCTTGAGCTAGGGTTCAGGGGTTAGAACTTATGACCTCCACCTCAGTACTGCTTTCCCGAAGCCCTCCCTGCCCTCAGAGGACCATAAACCCTCGAAGCCTTGAACCCTTGAGCCCTTGAACCTGAAGTCCAAACCCTTAAACCCTTAGACCCTTAAACCCGTAAATCTGTACCCCCTAAACCCTGAACCCGCCAAACCCTAAACCCTAAACCCCTAAACCCCTAAACCCTAAACCCTAAACCCTAAACCCTAAACCCTAAACCCTAAACCCCAAACCCCAAACCCGAAACCCTACACCCTAAACCCTCAACTTCAACGGCTGCCTGCCCACGCAGGTGCCGCAGGTCGTCCCCGAAGCCGCCGCGCTCCCAGCGCTGGGAGAAGCCGCCGGAGCCTCGAAGTGACCGGACGCCGAAAGGGTTTAGGGTTTAGGGTTTAGGGTTCAGGGTTTAGGGTTTAGGGTTTAGGGTTTAGGGTTTAGGGTTTAGGGTTTAGGGTTTAGGGTTTAGGGTTTAGGGTTTAGGGTTAGGGTCAGGGGCTTGGGATTTCGGTTTTGGATGGTTTTGGGGTGTAGGATTCAGTCAGGGAATGGGGTTCTGAACCCCCCGAAACCTTCGACAACCTTGTAAACCGGCACCCTGAACCGACAAAATCTTGAGCCCTCGTCCTATAGGCTTTGCCCTACACCCTAAACCCTAAACCCTAAACCCTAAACCCTAAACCCCGCTTGCTAGGTTTTTCCAGGGCTCCTCCGGCAACAGCGGCTACTTGGCTTCAGGGTCTGAAGTTCCTGCCTCGTTTACTACCTTTGTTCGGACGTGAGACCACAAATGAAGGAACCCGAAGCCCTAAACCCCAAACCCTAGACCCCAAGCCCCCAAGCCCCCAAGCCCCCAAGCCCCCAAGCCCCCAAGCCCCCAAGCCCCCAAGCCCCCAAGCCCCCAAGCCCCCAAGCCCCCAAACCCTAAACCCTAAACCCTAAACCCAGAGAGCCTAACTCACCGCTTTGCACGCCCAGTGGCTGCTGATGGCACTGCCCTGGTCGTTGAATCCTCAGTGCCCACCCCCCAAAACCGCTGAAAACGTAGAGCTTCCCGCAGCTCAGCCCTACAGGTGTTCCGAAATCCTTAAACCCTACACCCCAAACCCTGGCCCTGATGGGATGAAACCCTAAACCCTAAACCCTAAACCCTAAACCCTGAAACCCTTGGCATCATGGAATGAAGAAGTCCCTGAACAACTCGGCTTACAAGGACCACGAAGCCTCAAACTCTTAAGAGACATCTTGGGCATCGGGTTTACAACCTTAAAAAGGGTTTAGGGCGTTTCGGGTCCGGGGATTAGGGTTTCGGCTTTGGGGTTGCGGGCTTGGAGTTTAGGGCTGATTTACGGTCCGTACTACCCAGAGAGGGGTTTGTAGAGGCCATCTCTCTGTGAGCCCAAAGCTTAGAGCGCCCTTAACCTAAATATCGATGAAGTCCCAACCCCGAAGAGAACAGCAAGCAGGACACGGCCTTCACTTCTTAGAGACACTACAACCCAGGATCCTTAAAGATGTACAGACACGGAACCTGAGTCTGCTGGCAACCCTGCCCACTCCCCCCCCCGCAACCAAGCTGCGGAAAAAAGACTCGACACGGTGGCTCTCCTGACTTGGCATTCTCCAGTTGGGAATTGCACAAACTCAGGGTTTGCATGAAGTTGCTTCATCCCCGTTTTGTGAGGCCAATGCTGCGTTCCAGAGAACAACATTCCCCCCCCCCACCAAAAAAAATGAAGAAAAAACACAAGAAGAAAAGAAACACACACACACACACACACACACACCCTGCGCAGCATCTCAGGCTGATGCGCAAATGATTCTGATCCCCTATAGCTCTTAAGGCCCCCTATATTCCCTATATTTAACCTTTTAACCTTAGTTGCTGAGTTCATAAGCACAAAAAACTCTACACTTTTGGTTTTTTGTGGAGATTCTAGTATCCCAAAAAGTGTAAAGTGTACTCACTCAGCCACTAAGAAACGACCCCGACACCTGGTGCAGCCAGGTCCTGTTCATGGTCCAGGTCTAAGACAGGTTCAGGGTCCTAAACCCTAAACCCTAAACCCTAAACCCTAAACCCTAAACCCTAAACCCTAAACCCTAAACCCTAAACCCTAAACCCTAAACCCTAAACCCTAAACCTCAAACCCTAAACCCTAAACCCTAAACCCTAAACCTCAAACAAGGTCTTTTGGGCTTTTGGGCTTTGGGGTTTTAGGGCCTTGAGTTTGAGGATGTGGGCTTCGGGTGCCCTGTAACATCTCAAACCCGACAACCCGACACACCCCAACACCCGGTCCGTTTCCTGCCCTAAACCCTAAACCCTTTAACCCCTAAACCCTAAACCCTAAACCCTAAAGGACCTAAACCCCCCTGCAGGCACGGCCTCCCTGGCAGGGTCTAGGGTTTTAGGGTTCAGGGTTTAGGGTTTGGGGTTACCTGGTTGCAACCCCAAGGCATCTTAACGGGCACACTTGGGGGGAGGTCAGGGTCAACAACCCTAAACCCTAAACCCTAAACCCTAAACCCTAAATCCTAAACCCTAAACCCAAAACCCAAAACCCAAAACCCTAAACCCTAACACCTAAACAACCTCGCCGTCAAGTCGCAATCTCGCGTTCGTAGAGCCAGCGCCTGGGTTTACAGGAATGCTGGCAGGCACTATGAGGCAGCCGAGGCTGCAGCAGCAGCTGCTGCGTAACTTAAGCCTTACAGGATGATGATTACTGTGTAGGGTTTAGGGTTTAGGGTTTTGGGCCGGTTTAGGGTTTAGGGTTTAGGGTTTAGGGTTTTAGGGTTTAGGGTTTAGGGTTTTAGGGTTTTAGGGTTTTAGGGTTTTAGGGTTTTAGGGTTTTAGGGTTTTAGGGTTTTAGGGTTTTAGGGTTTTAGGGTTTTAGGGTTTTAGGGTTTTAGGGTTTTAGGGTTTTAGGTTTTAGGGTTTTAGGGTTTTAGGGTTTTAGGGTTTTAGGGTTTTAGGGTTTTAGGGGGTTTTAGGGTTTTAGGGTTTTAGGGTTTTAGGGTTTTAGGGTTTTAGGGTTTTTTAGGGTTTTAGGGTTTTTAGGGTTTTAGGGTTTAGGGTTTTAGGGTTAGGGTTTTAGGGTTTTTGGGTTTTAGGGTTTTTAGGGTTTAGGGTTTTAGGGTTTTAGGGTTTAGGGTTTTAGGGTTTTAGGTTTGAGGGTTTTAGGGTTTAGGGTTTTAGGGTTTTAGGGGGTTTTTAGGTTTTAGGGTTTTAGGGTTTTAGGGTTTTAGGGTTTTTTAGGGTTTTTAGGGTTTTAGGGTTTTAGGGTTTTAGGGTTTTAGGGTTTTAGGGTTTTAGGGTTTGAGGGTTTAGGGTTTTAGGGTTTTAGGGTTTTAGGGTTTTAGGGTTTTAGGGTTTTAGGGTTTTAGGGTTTTAGGGTTTTAGGGTTTTAGGGTTTTAGGGTTTAGGGTTTAGGGTTTAGGGTTTAGGGTTTAGGGTTTAGGGTTTAGGTTGTACCTGCAACAAGAAGAATAACAAGCTTGCAATCATGACTATAATTGCGGCTCCGACTATGTTGATGACATTGACATGAAGCAACTCTCAAACTCGTGGGCTCTCTAGTCCATACTGTAATTCCGAGGTATTTGTAGGCTAACTCCCTAAACCCTAAACCCTAAACCCTAAACCCTAAACCCTAAACCCTAAACCCTAAACCCTAAACCCTAAGAACCACGACGTGCTAGCATACCCAAGAATCCCCTCAAAAGGACGCTTGATAAAGCTGATCAGCGGAAAATGAAAGCCCAATAGCCCATCCAGAAAAGGGTAGAGACTTACAGAACCGCCCATCTAAACCTTTTTGCTGCCAGGGTGATTGGCAATTGGGAGTTAACAGTTAGCAAGGGTTTAGGGTTTAGGGTTTAGGGTTCAGGGTTCAGGGTTTAGGGTTTAGGGTTTAGGGTTTAGAGTCTCGGGTGGAGAGTAAGATAGACTCCTGCAACAAAGTACCCTCCAAGCTCACCAACAAAAAACCCAACCCCCCCTAAACCCTAAACCCTAAACCCTAAACCCTAAACCCCAAACCCTAAACCCCAAACCCTAAACCCTCAACCCTAACCCCCCCCCCCCCCCCTCGGGTGTCAAGGCGTCGGCTTGGATTTGTGCCACGACTTGGCCTGGCGGATGCCAACAGCTTCTACCCGAAGATGCTATGGGTTTAGAGAGCTAGGGTTGCGGGTTTGCGGCTTAGGCCCTAACCCCTAACCCCTAACTAACCCCTAAACCCTAAACCCTAAAAGCTAAACCCTTGGGCATGAAGGACCTTCAAAAGCTGTGTAGGCTCGCAACACTTGAGGGTGTCCTCTTAGAGTGCCCATGGTTTGGAGTTAGGGTTTGGGTATCACAAACTGCAAGCCGCGAGTTTACCTGCGCCAGCGCAAGTGCTCCGTGCTCCCTGAAAAAGGGCCCAAATGTATGCCTCCTCAAGGCAACTCGGGGAGTCTGCGGGATCTAGTCACAGGTTAGGATGGTCTCGCAGGCTTTTGGGCTTCGTAGAGCTCAGAGCCGCAGGGTTTACCCAGAGAAGCCCTGGCAGAACTCTGAAAGAACATCGGGGAAGACATGCCTTACCCAAAACCCTGAACCCCAAACCCCAAACCCCAAACCCCATTTTCCCCAAGACTGCTTCGGCTTTGGGGGGGGGGGGGGGGGCTACAATGCTAGAGCACGCCATCGCTAACCTGAAACCCCAAAAGGACCTGCACAAGCAAACTGAAAATCTCAAAGCTAAGGAAAAGGCCCTATGAACTTCAATGCCCCTAACCCTAAACCCTAAAACCCTAACCCTAAACCCTAAACCCTAAACCCTAAACCCCAAAAACCCCAAAACCCTAAACCCTAAACCCTAAACCCTAAACCCTAAACCCCAAACATACCCAGAGGCCTGCCTCCTCTAAGAAGGCGCGCAGTAGGTGGTCGGCAAAGGGCTCGGGGACCACGTCCGGCACAAAGGACACTGGCACCTGTTGGGTTCAGGGCTCAGGATCCTGTCCCCAAACCCCAAACCCTAAACCCTAAACCCTAAACCCCAAACCCTAAACCCTAAACCCTAAACCCTAAACCCTAAACCCTAAACCCTAAACCCTAAACCCTAAACCCTAAACTCTAAACCCCAAACCCTAAACCCTAAACCCCAAACCCCAAACCCTAAACCCTTTCTTGCTTAGGGGAGGGGATCACTTCGAAGCTGAACATCGAAGCTCCCTGAGCCAACAACCCTCAAAGCCTAAACACTAAAGGATTTTTGGGGTTTCGGGTTGAGGGCTTCTAGGGGCCCCTACAACCCCAAAAACCTCAAAAAACCCGAAACCCGAAACCCTAAACTATCTCAGTGCCCTAGCGCGAGAGAGGGTCGGCCACTACAAATTCCTAAGCCCCAAGCACTAATCGAGGGCTCTCAGTTGACAGGGTTGATGACGAGCCGACTCCTTCCCTGCCAAGCCCAAAACCTTAAACCCTGCGACTCCCCAAGCCAGCAAGCCCGAAACCCTGCCCCAATACCTAAACCCTAAGCCCTAAGCCCTAAACCCCAAACCCTAAACCCTTAACCCTTAACCCTTAAACCCTAAACCCTAAACCCCCCAAAGCTCCGCAAATCCTCAAACATCCTGTGGAGCCCTACTTGGAGGCTCATGGTACTTGTGAACCAATTAAAACTGTGCTTATAACCCACTTATAAGCCCCTTAAGTGCCCTAATAGGGTTATAAGTACCCTAAACCCTAAACCCTAAACCCTAAACCCTAAACCCCGAACCCTAAACCCTAAACCCTAAACCCCGAACCCTAGACCCTAAACCCTAAACACCATGAACCTCCAAGCACTCAACTTCTCAGAGGCGCCATGCGCTCCAGCTCTTCGATGCTCGTCGGCTTCGTGACGGAGCCACCTGGCTGCTGAGGGTTTGGGTTTAGGGTTTAGGGTTTAGGGTTTAGGGTTTGGGGTTTAGGGTTTAGGGTTTAGGGTTTGGGGTTTAGGGTTGACGGTTTAGGGTTTAGGGTGACTTAGCGGTGTTTGCAGGATGTAAATTGGGCTAACAGGATGCAAAGAAGCTTTGGAGGATTTAGGAATCAGAGGATCAGGCTTAGTTCGTGCAGGGTTTGGGAGTTTAGGGTCTAGAGTTCAGGTCGAGCTCGGTTCTCTGTGCCAGGGTCAGGTAACCGTTTTTGTTGCTTACTTCTCTAGCAACCGCCAAGCTTTGTTAATGATTCCAACAACAAGATCAGGACAAGGACGCCCAATGATTAGATTCAATGGAAAACTTTTCATTGGCTGAATAAGTTTTGGTCTGTGCAGGGCAATGCGCGCGTCCCCCTCTCTCGCGCCTGCGGGCGGGCAATGACAATTGGGAGGAGGCTCCTGAATACAGCATCCGTTCCTTCGACTCCTCTTCTCGGAGGTTCCCATCCGTGGTGATGCTTCTAGCCGGCCTCGTCATGCTCAGAAAGCCCTTCTTGGGCGAAAGTTGTTGGCGACGAGGTAAAAGCCGCCAGCTCCTGCTGCCGCACCCTTCTGGATCACGTGCAGATCCTTCGCCGGCACGAAGCCCAAGTCATCCAGGCATCCGAAAGCGGCAAACGCAAGGCCAGCACCAATGAGGAAGACGTCGATCTCTCTAAACCTGGGATGACCCTTAAAGCCCTCTCAAAAACATTCCTAGATGTGATCCTCTTAATCCCCATAAGGGAAAGTATATAACATATCCAAAAAAATATCCCGCGGGCCTGCCTAGGAACTGAGCAAGATCGGTTTGGTACCGTCGGAACATGCGCTGCACACACAGCGCTGCGATGCCACCACTGACTGCGGCCATGAAACATGAGCCCAGGACATTCCACGTGCCATCCCCTTGCGCCGTATCTGCTTGAACCGCTTCACCACAAGAATCCTTCGTGCTGTGTTCGTCTTTCATGGCGTCTTCACGTCCACAAGGGCTCCTGGGAGCTTCATGCCCGCTGCTTTCATCCCACATCAGCATCCCCACGTACGCGCGGACTGGACACAGCTGACACTCCAACCCCCTTCTGGAAACACGCCTTCCTTTCGGAACGGCTGGAACTGGGACTCCGCTGGAACTGCCTGGAGCCGGAGGATCTTCTGGTACTGCCGGAGCTGCAACCTGCTCAGGTTCGACCCGCGGCTCGGAAATCGGCAGATTCCGGTCGACCCGCGGCTTGGAAATCGGCAGATTCTGGTCGACCCGCGGCTGGGAAATCGGCAGATTCCGTTCGCAAGGTGTAGATGGGATCGCCTCGTGAACGGAGACCCTGCTATGCTGGTCCGGGGTGGGAATGAAGGGGTGGACCCAGATTCGGACCCTGTGCAAAGGTTGCGCGGCCAGCGTTGCCACGCAGGATGCCACCGTGATCAACACTACCCGCCTCCTCTTCTCGGTTGCAGGCATGGTTGGAAGGGCGATTGGAGCCATGGAACCTACAGCTACCCTTCAAACTGGAACAAAGGTAGCTGCTGCGCAGCCACGAAGCCATGGTGGCAGTAATTTAACTGCTGCCGAAGCTAGCTCGGATAATTTCATCAAAACCTTGAACTCTTTACGTTACACTATAATTATTCCTTGCGTGCCATAAGTTGATCAGGGCCGTTGCGCCCTGGAATCCTCTACTACTCCCACCGAGGGCTTCGAGCTCAGGGCATAATTTTGGGAGATCCTTTACCCGCACGCCCCACCCCCTCCCCACGTCAGCTCCGGCAACCCCCCGACCACTACCCGATCACCCGAATTATATAGGTGCTTCGTCACTTTCGGGATAGTATAGGATCTCTAGATCATGGATCCTAAACAAGCCAAGAACACCCTGATAACTCTGATGTCTTGCACAAAGTCTCTTGTTACGCAGTGGAAAGCAGGCGGCGTGACCTTTGCCCGAACGTCCGGCCAGTGTGACCTGCAGCTGGTTGCAACTCTTGCGGGTTCAGGGTTTAGGGTTTGGGGTTGTGGGAGTTACGCCCTTCATTGGGCGCTGAGGACAAAGACGGAAAGACACCCAGGTTGGCTACCTCAACTATGCACCTACTTAGTAGCCCAGTAACCATATCTGAATAACGGCATAACGGTACATTTTCTGTTGGATACTTTATATAGGAACCCAGAACGAAAAAAGGGCAAAGGGCGCCGCTGGGCTCCCAAGCCTATAAAGACTTCGTACCATTTCTGCGGTTTCACCAGCAACTTCCACCCTTCAGGGATGCAGACTCGACACCATCAGCCCTAAACCCTAAACCCTAAACCCGAAACCCTAAACCCTAAACCCTAAACCCGAAACCCTAAACCCTGAACTGCAGCCTTCAGGCCAGACTCGGGGATACCAGCCCCACGCCCAACAGCAGAAACCTTGGACTGGCCTGTGTAGGGTTTAGGGTTTGGGAGGGTTTAGGGCTTAGGGTTTAGGGTTTAGGGGGTTTAGGGGGTTTAGGGTTTAGGGTTTAGGGCTCAGGGCTTAGGGCTCAGGGCTTAGGGATTAAGTTCTAAACTGTCCAAAGCCCGAAACTCTCGGAAGCCCCCCTAAAAAGTTCAGGGTTCAGGGTTCAGGGTCGACGGGTTTAGTTCAGGGTTACCCTAATCCCAATCCTTATTCTGAAGAAAAACCCTCGACTGGGACGCCCGAACAAAGACCTCGACTTCTTGTGCTGCCGGGGCCTTCGCCTGCATCTGGCCAGGGATTTGTGGTTAGGGGCCACCCTAAACCCTAAACCCTAAACCCTAAACCATAAACCCTAAACCCTAGACCCTAAACCCCAAACCTTCATTAGAAAATGTGGCGTCAGTTTAGCGGCTTAGGTCACATCAAATTTAATGGTCTTGTTTTCGACACCCTCAACTAAACGGATTCTACTCTACCGGAAAAGTCCACAAGAGGGTTTGGAAAGGACTGCTTCTTGGGCTGCCAAAAGAAGGACCCTAAACCCTAACCCTAAACCCTAAACCCTAAACCCTAAACCCCAAACCCCAAACCCCAAACCCGTGGCCGACTTCCTCGAGCATTTTGTCCTTCTGCAGGCTTCCGGTCAACGCGGCGCGCCGAAGGCAGCTAGGCAAACTCCACGAACGATGAACCCCTAAACCCGAAACCCTAAACCCGAAACCCTAAACCCTAAACCCTAAACCCCGAAACCCTGAACCCTAGACCCTAGCTGCCGCACCCTGAACTCTTAAACCCTCGCATCAGACCTTCCTGATGCCTCTGAGAACAAGAACCACAAAAGGAGTTTTTGGAAGTTGGCTCGAAAAGGGTTTAGGGTTTAGGGTTTAGGCTTTAGGCTCTGGGGTTTGGGGTTTCGGGTTTAGGGCCTGGCTGGATGGCCCTACTTAAAGCCCTCTGATAAAGATTCCCGAAGATGAGCCTCTTAAACCCAATAAGGGAGAAACAGAAACATATCCAAAGGGCCTACTAAGCGAGTCAGTTCCCTGCACGGAATCCTTCTAGACTCTAGACTCTCTACGCGATGTTTCTTTAGTTCGGGCTTTGCATGACAAAAGCCCTCAACCCCAACCCCCAAAGCCCTACACCCTATTCCGCTAACCCTAAACCCGCAACCCTAAACCCTAAACCCTAAACCCGAATCGTCCAGCGAGGGTTCCACCCTCCCGTGGCCTCGGCCAAGGTGGGCGGCGCTGGCGGCTGGAACCTGTGCGTTATCATTCCCTAAGAGTCCATATACCTAGGGTATAGGGTTTAGGGTTTAGAGTTTAGGGTTTAGGGTTTCCATGTACCAAAATATTGAATACTTGGGCCGTAAAGTAGTTCCTATACAGGGAATTTGGGGAAGTATACGATAATGAGGCATGGACCTTTGGGGCTTCGTGAACCCTAAACCCTGCAAGCCTTCAGAGCCCTAATATGGGGGGCCTTAATAATTGGAATAAGGTGTTGGGGGTTATAGTATAGCTATAACAGGGAGCATAAGGGAATCAGATTAGGAATTATTCCGACATCTGATGCGGCGTCGGAATTATCCTTCATCTTCCTCTGGCTGATGCCTGGAACGAAAGCGTCTTTCATGTCGATATCCAGGTGCAGCTGTGCTGCCGTGTTTTGAGCATTCTGGATCGTGTCGGTTGCCTGCGTGTCCTCTGGCCAGCCAATGATCAAGGCCGGCTGTTTCTTGTCTTCATCTGTAGTTGGTGTTCAGTCGAGCTGGTGGGACAAACAGCACGGCAGCCACCTGCGCGTGGTTCAGCGGGTGAAGGATCATGCGCTCCTCAGCACTGAAAGCATCCTCTTTCTCCAGGGCGGCCTGGCGGGCCGCACGGGCTGTGGCCACCTGCTGCGTACCTTCCCCTACGTGTGAGTGTAATTCGTTGAGGCTTAGGGCTTGCTGGGCGCACAGGGCTTAGAGGATTTCAGGGCTCAGGGCGGCAAGGTCTGCATAGGTTTAAGGGCTTAGGGTCTTGGCAGGGTTTCGGGCTTAACTGGGGCTGATGGGGTTGCAAAGCCGTGAGGGGCTACAGAAAACCCCGGCTCTAAACCCAAACTACGAGTGCCTGGCAGCAGAAGCCCTTCCAACCCTAAACCCTAAACCCTAAACCTAAAACCTAACAACCTAAACCCCGAGCCGCCTCAACCCTAGACGCTCAACCTCATAGAAGGTTAGAGTTTGGGCTTCAGGCTTGAAAGCGTTAAGGTTCAAGGTTCCATGCATGCAGGGTTCCCTAAGCTCCAACCTCCTAAACCCTAAACCCTAAACCCTAAACCCTAAACCCTAAACCCTAAACCCTAAACCCTAAACCCTAAACCCTAAACCCTAAACCCTAAACCCTAAACCCTAACCCCAAGTCCCGCAGCACAGGGCACATGAAGGATGGCACGGGCGGCTTCTTCATCCGTTTCTTGGGTCCGGGCGCCTCGTGGCGGGGGTTTAGGGTTTGGGGTTTGGGGTTTGGGGGTTTGGGGGTTTAGGGGTGTTTAAGGTTCAGGGTTTAGGGTTTAGGGTTTAGGGTTTAGGGTTTAGGGTTTAGGGTTTAGGGTTTAGGAATGCGTGGGGCAGGGTGGAGAGTTCTTAAGGCGAAAGAGTTTAGGGCTTTGGCTTTGAGGCTTCCATAAACTCTAAACCCTAAACCCTCAACCCTAAACCCTAAACCCTAAACCCTACAGCCCTGAACCAGTTTTCAGGCTTTCGGGAGACTGCGCAGCAATGCAGGCCACCTGCCTTGGAAGCCTGCCCCCGACCTGAACGCTAACCCCTACAACCTCTAACCCTAAACCCTAAACCCTAAACCCAAAACCCTAAACCCTAAACCCTAAACCCTAACCCTAAACCCTAAACCCTAAACCTTAAACCCTACAATCCTACAACTTCTAACCCTGTTGGACCGCCACTTAGTTGTTCAGTGGGAACTAAAGGTTAACCTTTGGGATTCTAAGGGGATGATATTACCCCCAAAAGGTTACAGGTTACCTACTCTACTCCTAAGCCCAAACCTCAACCCCTACATCCCCTAGGCAGTTGAACTCCTACAATGCTCAATCGTGCTTGGAGCCTCCGGAAAACCAGTGCACTGCCCCTGACGAGTTGAGGGTTCAAGGTTCTAGGGCTTACCCGAATTTAATCCCTGAACACGAAAACCTACTTGGAGGTTCATGGGTAGTTAGAAGTAGGGCTACAAGTACGGTGATGATACATGTAACCCCATACCTTAAACAAACCCTAAACCCCTAAACCCTAAACACTAAACCCTAAACCCTAAACCCCAAGCCCTAAACCCTCAACCTCGCGCCTTCTCTACGGCCGCCGCTTGCTGGCCACTCGGCTTCGAAGGCGAGGGGCCTGCTGGTACTTAAAAGCGTCCACCCTATACCCTAAATCCAAGATTCCTGCGGAGACAGTAAACCCTAAACCCTAAACCCTAAACCCTAAACCCTAAACCCTAAACCCTAAACCCTAAACCCTAAACCCTAAACCCTAAACCCTAAACCCTAAACCCTAAACCCTAAACACTAAAACCCTAAACCCTAAACCCTAAACCCTAAACCCTAAACCCTAAACCCTAAACCCTAAACCCTAAACCCTAAACCCTAAACCCTAAACCCTAGCTCGGGTTGAGGGCCTGAGGAGGGTTTCAGGGTTCAGGGGGCTTCGGTTTTAAGGGGGCTTGCAGGTGCTTGAGGATGTTCGGGATTCCGGCAGCATTTGTGCTTGGGCTTTTTAAGATGTCTGAGCGTGTTTTGTCTTCTGTGAGGATTTGGAGTTCAGGGTGCGGCAGCTCTTTAGGGTTTAAGGGTTTTAGGGTTTAGGGTTTAAGGGTTAGGGTTTAAGGGTTTAAGGGTTTTAGGGTTGAGGGTTTAAGGTTCAAAGGCCTCTGGGCCTCAAGTTCGAAACATTGCGAGTTGACAGGCTTCCGGCGTTTTGGGCCCTAAACGCCCACCCTCACGTCACCAAAGCCCTCCAGGAAGCCGAAATATGTCTACATCTGAAAAACATCTAACAACAAGGTTTTAGGGTTCAGGGCTTAGGATTTAGGGTTTAGGGTTTAGGGTTTAGGGCCAAACTCGAAACCCCCATATTCACTAAACCCTCTACATGCTTACATCCCCAAGCCCGTAGACCCCGAGCACAAAGACGCCTTAACCTGACTCCAAACCCTGCGCCCGACACGGACCCTAAACCCCAAACCCCAAACCCTCAACCCTCAACCCTCAACCCTCAACCCTAAACCCTAACCCTAAACCTTCAAGGCGCAAACGCCACAAGCCCCACAAAGGCCACGTCCCAGTTGCGCTTCAGGCTGCTTGGGCGTGCCGGCGAAGGTCCTGCGAAGTGGTTTAGGGTTTAGGTTTAGGGTTTAGGGTTTAGGGTTTAGGGTTTAGGGTTTAGGGTTTGGGGTTTGGGGTTTGGGGTTTAGGGTTTAGGGTTTAGTGGTTGGTTCTCAAAATCCGGGTCGCTATCTAGGCACCGTAAGTATTGAACATGTATCATCACTCACACTCTAAACCGTCAACCCTAAACCCTACAAAATGGAATCGTGTACCCAGTGGACTGTAAACCTCTTTTTTATACGGACCCACTTGTTGAACCTTTGGCTTGGGCCCTACAGCTTTGTCTTGGCTCCCTGCAGGATTTGGGTATCGGCTTGGTTACAGTCATTTTCGATCGGCTTCTTGGGTCTTCCAGGCACCAAGGTGACAGGGGTCTAGGGCCCTAAACCCTACACCCTAAAAACTCTAAAAACCCTAAAAACCCTAAAAACCCTAAAAAACCCTAAAAACCCTAAAAACCCTAAAAACCCTAAAAACCCTAAAAACCCTGAAAACCCTAAAAACTCTAAAAACCCTAAAAACCCTAAAAACCCTAAAAGGGACCCTAGGGCCCGGTGTCCTCCAACTGCCGGGTCGCAGTGTTTCGGGCTTAGGTGCGTTTAGGGCTTAGGGTTCGGGTTCAGGGTCCTAGGGTCCTAGGGTCCTAGGGTCCTAGGGTCCTAGGGTGCTAGGGTTCTAAGGTCCTAGGGTCCTAGGGTCCTAGGGTTTAGGGGTTTAAGGTTTTTGAGGGTCTGGGGCTTTGAGTCTTAGGGTCTGGAGCAGGCTAATCTCAAGAAAAGCGGCTTGAGAGCAGGACTTCTTGCTCCAGCCGTGGCGGTGCGCTTGCTTCTTCCTGTTGCCGAGGCATGCTTTCAAGGGAGGTATCTTGCTTTAGGGTTTAGGGTTTAGGGTCAGGGTTTAGTGTTTAGGGTTTAGGGATTAGGGTTTAGGGTTTAACAAAGCCAAGCTCCAAACTCCCTAGCCTTAACCACAGCTTTGAAGTTTTCGGATTCCTCAGCACGGAAGAGATCCCCAATGAGGATAGGAACCGATGATGCATTCGATCAGGAGCTGTCTAGCAACGGGTCTGGCAAAGAAGACACACCCGTATCCCAACCCCAAACCCTAAACCCTAAACCCCAAACCCTGAACCCTAAACCCCAAACCCTAAACCCTAAACCCTAAACCCTAAACCCTCATCCCAACCCCAAACCCTAAACACAAAAAGACGCAGGGCATAGAGGCCAGGGGATCGCAAAGCCCTGAATCCCATGCCACGGGATCCCCCAAACATGCCCGGCAAACTTGCGGGGGTTTCATGCTTTCGGGGTTTAGGGTTTAGGGTTTAGGGTTTAGGGTGTAGGGTGCAAGCTTTGTAGGGTCGTTGTATCAAGGGAAAGGGAACCCAGCCAAGGGTAAACGAGGATGGGTTCCGTCAAGCCACGCCTACTTCCGAGGGTGTCGCGACAACCAGGGGGTTTGGGGGATCAGGGGTTCCACGGCTTTAGGGATTTAGGGATCATTGTTTTGGGGGTTGCGAGGCAAAAGGGTTGAAGAGTTTCAAACCTCAAACCTCACCCTAAACCCTAAACCCTAAACCCTAAACCCTAA